CGGTGCTGCGGGGGCAGCGAGCCCGTCCAGCCTGCCGGTGCCCGGCGGCAGCGGAGCGTGCACGGGCAGGGAAACAGGTGCCGAGGCTCTGGCTGTCTGCAGAAGTCCTTGCTGCGGAGCTGAAAGCAAATACGCCCCAGCCCTCTTTTCGTGCGTGTACACGCCACGGTGTGGCACTTCACTCGGGGCTCGTTTTGCCGTCGTGTTTTGGATCTGATAAGATGCAGCCGACTTTCACGTGAAAGCGTTGAGGAATATGGGGGGCTGTAATTGATGGGAGCTGGGAGTACCAAAGCGAGCGTTCCAGTGACCTTTGCACGAAGGTGTACAGCTGAGGACTTCCCAGTTCATCTCAGGGTCAGACCCCAAGTTTCAAGAATATCCCTCAACTTGAACAGAAACAAGCACACACTTGATTCAGTGGCTCAGAGCAAGTGGTCCCGTGCACGGTTGGTGTGGTAAGAAACAGTTCAAGCAGCAGCTTGAAACAATTGCCGTGCTGGAACACAGAGAATAGCGACCTTCTCAGTATCTCTATAGTAAATAGGCCCGGACCGGCACGTGCAAGGCAAAGACCTGCTTTAAAAAATGTTTTATGTGTTCTCTGTGTGAATGTAATTAAAATTCTTGTCCTTCGGGGTCTGGTAAAGCCTTTGTTTTGTCTGACTTCACCCCTGAGCAATGTTGCTGAGGTTAGGTAATTCGGACTTGCTGTCACTAGAGTTCAATTTGTGGCGTAGCTCGAAAGGGGCAATCTGGCCAAGTTTCACTGCTCCCGATGCCTTTTTGGTAGCTGCCTGGGCCCAGACCTTTTCGTGCCTAACTACCGAATGTGGAAGAGCAGCCCTGACCTCCCTCCTCCCGTCAGTTATGTGTCGGGCACAGGAGGGAAACACCATTTCCGAAGGTGCCTGCAGAGCAGCCCTGCGAATTCGCGAAGCCTGGACTAACATCCTCCACCCAATAGCTGCGTTTCCCAGCGCTGCTCGCTGCCGACCGGTGACCTGTTTGACTCCCTGGTTTAGTCAGTACGGAAACCAACCTTCTGACATTTGGCAGGTAATGCGAGGCTTGTGTCAAGTGTTAGATTAATGATACGTTTGTTGTTAAAATCCACTGTCCTGGCAGATTTATGTATTTATTTATTTTAATTTCTGACATTGCTTTTATGCTGTGTTTGCTATTCAGATGCTAGCTGGAGTGAAATGTGGTACGGGCCAAGGTGAAGGATAGAGCAGCTTTACCTTCCACTTGGTTTCGAGCCAGCCCGTTAGTTAAATTACTTTTAATGACAAATGTATTTGCAAATGTTTGAGCAAAATGATGTTTTGTTACTACTTCTTTTTTATCAAGGCAGAAAGTAGATGATTTTGATACAGTAGATGAAAGTACTAACCCAGCAGCAAGACAACATCACTCTTGTGTGGAAGTTGAGAAGATTACAGAGCAACTTTTGTAAGATATTTTGAACTCAGTGACAAAACTGGCCAATGCTGTTTTCCGCATGTTTTTCCTTCATGTAAGTATTTAGGTATACTTTGCTGTAGATGGATGAGGTAACACCATAGGTCAAATATTAAGACCACTTCTTCTCATCAAGCACACATATAGCAGATGAATGGATAAACTTACTGAAAAGATTGGCACTGTTGTAAGAAGGGAAGCTTTGTCTAATAAAACCATTAAAAGTGTCTATGAAGGGAGCGAGAGGGGAAACTCGGATCCCTCCACAGCTGGTAGGTCTTACAGCAGCGTCACAAAATGCACGAGCCTCAGCATCCTGCCAGGCTCAGCTGGATATATGGTGATGTGTTTTCCCAAAGACAGCCTGTTGCAATGAGACTAATAGGATACTACGGCCATATCTTATACCAGGCAGTGCGTGCTTGACAGGGTAAATTAAAAGAGGAATGCTATCAGATGTTTCTGCTTTTGGCATATATTTATTGTAAAGTTTGTAGAACAAAAAGGGACCTTCTTCAGACATCGTTAATAAAAGATAAATGCAGTAATGATGCAAAAATCCCACTTTCCTAATGCCTATCCCGTAAATGGAAGGATGGCAAAGTTGTTACCATGCAGAAACATTCGTTTTGATACCTTTTTTTTTTTTAAAGAGCCAACTTTCAATGTGTTGGAAAGTTGCCATCAGCTGCAAAGCATATGAGGTAGACGGGATGCGTACAGTAGTCTTTCTAATCCCTCTGAGGACTGAGAACTCAATTTACACTCCAGCCGGCGCATGAGGCTTCGGTGCTGGAGCAGGAGCTCTGCAAGAGAGCCATGAGAAAGCTCACCATGTTTTCCTGAGAAGTTCTGCAGGTACGAAGTCTGGTGGGAGAATTTGACGGCAGCGCTGCTCACAACAAACTGTTTATTAGCAGTGATAAAATGGCACAGCTTAGTTTGTCAGGAGCTGAACTGCGGGCTGGCTGCCGAGTCCCGGGCGAAGGAGGTGCGTGTGTGTGAGCAGGGAGGGGGGCTGGGGACCCATGCCCCAGTCCAGGCACTGGCAATGTGGATTCAATCGGGGGAAAGCAGGAGATCATACAAGGTCCTTGGAAAAATCAAGCATCTTCCTGTCTTTCTGTCTGTCTATGTCTATGCGATGTGTTTCACGTGGTCATTTTGTTCTTGATACACCAATTCACATATGAATACTTTAGTTATATAAAACACACCTTAAATGTCAGTAACCATAAAATCTTGCTGAATTGTCAAAAGCTGATTAATAGTAAAGAATAATATTTTTTTAACCCGCTTTCCATCCCCACCTTCAAAAAGTACCCTTTTCTTGTCTACTTACATACATCGCCATGGAGGAAGTAAGTCCATTTTATTTATTACAACAAGAAGTAAAGCTTAAATAAAAAAAAATCTCAGTTTTCATCTGAAAATATTCCCATGCTATTGTGTCCCCACCCTTCCCCAGTGGAGCTGCTGCCAACTATTTTGCAACTTTTCTGTTTTTGTCTCTCTGACCCCTGAGCAGGGTGCTTCAGTTCCAGTTTCTGTGACACGGAGCACCCCTGGGGGCCTTGCCATGCTGTGAGAGCACTCAACCTTCAGCCGAAAGGAATAAATATGCACCACCTAAGTGCTTTTTTTTTTTTTAATAATAATTTTTTAAACTAGCTGTTTCATTTGTTCAGGAGGTCGAGTGAGAACTTATTAAGTAACAATTTACTACCCCATTATCCCTGCTTGCTGGAGGGGGGTGGAGGAAGCGAGGCCGGGTGTAGAGGGTAGCAGATGGCTATGTATAAACCAACTGCTTTTAACACTCTCCTAACTCTTTCTCCTTAGCGCCTGCCTAAAGGTCCTCTTCATACTCATTCCTACAATAAACTGTAGGAGTTTAGTTTTTAAACTATCACAGATTGTCGCAGTCTGAGATGCTATTGTGCACAGAGGAAAAAATACTCTTGCGTTGAAGAGTTCCCAAATTCAATGCAAAAAACATACGAAAAGAGCATTAACAGATATCACTGATCGATAGCTTTACTTATTTGTCACTACATAGTTGTGCACATCACCCATTTAAATCACCAAAAACTTGGCGGTACTCTTACCCTGTCTTTCCCGCCCTCCTAAACGTTGCATTCCTTTGTTGCGTTTCCACCTCAACCTAATGAGAGAGCTGGACAGGACAGGAGTACGGTGTGTTATTTTTGCACAGAATGTAACATAACTAGGGTTTATTCTCGATTTGAGCCTTCAGGCTCTATTATAAAATGAGTGTGAAATAGGAATATATTATCTTAGTGCTACTCTACAGGATATTATTCTATAAGGAGCAAAGTATGGCTCAGTGGAGGCTGCCAGTTATGGCAGATTTAATGTATATTTGTCTCAGGACTGCCGCTGTGATTCAGTATTTCTACTTCATTCGGTATTACTTGTGATCAAATTGGAACCTAAACGGACTAGCTAAAACCTCTGTGCTACGGTACACATCTTAATTTGTGACAATAATTGAAGCTGGGGGACTATGTGAGTGCAAAATGAAGCATTTGTGTGCATGCAAGATTGAAGCCTAATTGAACAGTTTTGCTCATTCAGTAGAAATTTCCCATCTAATGGATTAAGTGTCGGATTGGTTGGAAGATCAGTGTTCACATAGGAAACTCACAATATATTCCCTCCTTGTAGTGAAAACGTAGACCCTTTTAGGCATATCAGTTCAATATTTTATCTTGCAGCAGAAAGGTGGTCAGTGGCCGCTACACTAATGCAGCTTTCTGAGTCTCTTGGTACTAGTCCCTTAAAAACCCTAATGCTTTTTGCCTAGACTCATAAATTAATGACACTTGGTACTCTCACTTGTGCGAGCGTGCTGATTTTCTAAGGACCAGCTTTAGAGAGTTGTGCTACATCCATGAACACTAGCAGCACGGTTCACATGTAAGAGAAACAAGCAGCTGCTTTTAAAGCAAACAGAGGTGTTGCTAGTAATTGCTTCCTAAGGAGACTGATCTTGCTGAAGCTGCATTCCTTTGTGCTGCTACCAAAGGACATAATTTACCCAATTTACAGTGCAATTCTCTTTTAGCAAGAGCTAAATCTTTACCACTGGCTCATTCTTGAGCCAAGTCAGCAATTTACAGACGTAGCAAAGGATACCTAAGTAATTTGTGCCTGCAGCTGAATGTGGTACTTCTTGAACAGACTCATCTTTGACCAGGTCCTGAGAGTCGGGAAGGTGGAGGTCTGTTGTCTTGTTATGATTCAGGAGCACACGTGACGGGAAGAAAGGAAGGAAGTGGCTTTTGTATTGACTGCTCCCCACCTCTGTCAAAGGTGCTTTTGCTGCCAGCATTTTGTCCTTGAAAGGGTTGTCCCCCCTCCTGTCCCTAGGGTGAGCTCGCTGTGTCGGATCCTGCAGCGTACTGACCCTCCTTCCCTCTTGCTTTCATCTTTTGCACCACATCACTAATGGGAATTGTGCAACAATGCTGTCTAATTAATGGCTCTTGACCTGCTGGTGCATGATATATTTTTTCATATATCAGAGTTGATTACCTAATTTCCTATTATTTTTCCCCCTATAAATTCCCAAAGTTATTAGTAACTCTGCTGTTTCATACTTGTGTAGCCACTTCATATGTTCTTGGAGAAGGGAATTCTGTGTATGATGGCACATGATACCCTCTAACACTGTGCTTTTCCTCTAAACCATCCTTGTTTTTTCTTTCCATTAGCACACTGTAAATTAGAGATTTCCTTAGTCTTGTCTTTATTTCTGCTTTGGCTGTGTGCTGCTGGGCTTCAGTGCTGATGAGGTAGAGAGCTTAAAAAATAAAAGATGCCAATTTTAAAAGAAGTGTAGTGTATACTTATGCATGTCAAAAGATTGAGATGTATGCAAAAGACTTTTTTTCCCTTTTGCAAGACCTTTTGCTTCCAGTGAAGATAAAATTATTAGACTTGGGGTTGCACTTAACACTGATTACAGAGTGAGAGAATAAATACTAGAAGTGATTTCAATTCAGTAGATGGAGGGATAACAGGCTCTTGTGACTGAAAGCTGAAATTAGGTAAATTCAGATTAGAAGTAAATTGTTAACAATGACAGTAATTAACCAGAGAAGGCCCTTGGAGTGTTGTGTTCTCCCCCAGTGGAAGCCTGAGCCACCTCCTCCACTAGCATCGCCCAGCCGTGCTCCTCCGAGCATCCCTTCTGTGCTTCGCAGGTGGTCAGGGATGGTGAGCACCCTAATTTAGTGTGGGCTAAAACCTACGGCGCTCTCCTCAAATGTACATGCAATGTGTAGAGGACCTACAAAAGCACGATTGTAATAATGAGAGTAACAGTGGTGTCAGGAGATTAAAACCCCCCAGTTAAAGCAGGCTCCACTACAAGTTTTGCAAATAAAATTTGGGCCATGTAAACAATGCC